AACAAAAAAAAAATGGTAAAACTATTCGTACCATTTAAAAAAAAGAGAGAAAAAGGAAAAAAAATCACATTATAATTTTTCATGGAACTGAAACTTATTCTAAAATTTATAGTAAAGAATAAAGGCCAAAGCTATTCTGAGAAAGAAAAATAAAGGAACATTTCCATTTTTTTATTATTTCCTCTTGGGAAACTAGCACATGTGCATAAAGAGATATTTACTGGACCATTCTGTATAACAGAGAAAACGGGAAAATGCTCACATGAGAAAAATACATCAAAGTGTATATTCACATGTTAGAATTTTTTTAAGAATTATGTACTTCATTTTATTTATTATTATTATTATTATTATTTTAATTTGCTATAGGGCACATATGCTCATCAGAGAGACACAAAGAGAGAGAGAAAGCTTCCAGGTCCAGGATTCAAATGTGGTCAGCCATGTGGGGGTCCAGTGCCTCAACCACCATGCTACCCGCTGCCCCCCTACACATGTTAGAATTCTGATCTAGATCTGTATATATGAGTGGTCATAAATGTTAAAAACAATGCAGTAAGTTACAAGATGATACATTTTGGAAATGTCTTAACTCGCCAAACAATGTACTCTTGTATACTATGTAAGCATAAAACATGGACTGGAAACTTATCAGAAAACATCTACCACCAGAGGGAAGAGAGGAAGAAAGGGGAGGAAAGGACTGGGGAGAAGCAGAGAGGCTGCATGGCATTCGACCCGCAATGTATCATTTAGCGATTTGCTCTGACACAAACATGAAATGCTCACATTCTCATTCCACATGAAAGGTCCATACATCTTTGTTATATTTTCATTTGCATTTTTCTGCCAACATCAAAATATTATGACACTCCTTAAGGGGAAAACGACTAAACAAACCTGAGGGCTCAATCTCTATCTCCAGTCTAGGTCTCTTCTCTGAGCCATCATCCTTCTACTTGCTGCCTGTGACCTACACACCTGAGCTCTTCAAATAGAAAGCTACTTTCTCCCGACCCTCTTGGCTCTTTCTCCGTCTTCTGTCTACTGATGTCATCACCATACACTTCTCTGCCCGAAACTGTTCAATGTTTCCCAACATGCACCAACTTAAAAAAAAAAAAACATTTTTCAAATAATCAAGCAAATTCTGCACAGAAGCTCAGATGCACCAGACACAAGCAGAACTGCTTCCTAGAGACTACACACCGCTAAGCACTTTTCTAGTCTGTGCACCAGGCCCCGAACAAGCCCTCGGACACACTTTGAAAATTTCTGGTATACAAAATAAAGGTAAGAGTCCTTAAGAGGACATGTCAGGTTAGGGAGGGTGAGAGGAAGGAAACCAAGGAGAGAAGTGGAGAGGCAAGACATTTAAGGGACACAGAAATGGAGGGCTGTCTATTAATGATCACATACATGACATCTTCGACTGGTCTGGTGTGCAGTGTATTCATGCTGGGGAAATTCATTTTTACAAGCTGTGGTGTTGAGCAATGATTGAATATATAAAATTAATTTAAGTAAACATTTTTTTTTAAAGACACTTCAAAGTCCTCACCATCTGGCCCTCTCCACACTTCCAACCACATCTCCTGCCACTCTGCTAAGAGTCGTGATCTCCAATACGATCAGAGAGTTCCCATTTCCTCATAGTCTGTCCCACCTCTAGGCCCATCAGAATCAGAAACACTATTCCAGCTCTCACCACACATCCATACATGCACAAAAACTCCACTTTTTTTGGTCTCTTTCTCTCTTTTAAATTCCTGGAAGTCACATGTGCTCACCAGAGAGAGACAGCGACAGGGAGAGGAAGAAAGTACCCGCCAGTGGGGCATGGTCACACCATGATCCCTTCTCCTTCACTTCTCCACCCTGTCGCCATTGGGACATGCACATACATGTACCTGTCATGTTCTCCAAGCTGCCAGGGCCAAGATCCAAGCCACAGTCAGCCATACAGGATCGGCCTCCCTTAACCACTAGGTTGCAGGGCTATCCCTACCTTCTCTTTCACTATCACTTTAGTATATACATCCAGAACTTGGTCTTGTGAATGGGGCCTCAGTAACTCGAAAAATGGTTCCTCTCTTAGCACCAAGACAAACAGTAGGCCAACTGCTAGAGGTATCTGGAGCCCTCAACCAATCCCCAAATCCTCACTTCTGCCCAAACATCTAACCTTGCCTCCCCAGACCACCCTCTCTTGCAACAAATTCAGTCAACAATACAACTCTTCTTTTACTCCCACCTCTTTTGACACTTTTATTATCTTTCTACCTTCTGCCACTGCTAAGGTTCTGACAGCAAAAGTCTGAGCGCCCTCCTGCCTTTTGACAGTGAATTAAATCCTGCTAATAACTGTCCTCAATTCCCCTCTCTATTCATGATGACAAGTTAAATGGGGCAACCAACTGAACACTACTGACAGTTTCAAATAGCAGCACATTAGAGAGAAAGGTGCAAGGTCAGCCGTAATTTTACAGTTGTTGCACTTAACACAGTTAAAATCGAATCTACTGCTTTGAAAACGCAGAAAGTCCAATTTACCAACAGAGCATTGAACAATCAAGTTCTGGGGTATTCTCATCAATAAAATTCACAAAAGACTGATCCATCCTACAGAATGCCAATTGTTAGGACTAAACCATGTCTTCACAAAATTCTTAAGTTAAAGCCCCAACCCCCACTGTGTGACCGGACTTTCAGGGATGTAATTAAGGTTAAATGAGGTCATTGGTGGGGTCCTAATCGGACAGCAGTGGTGGCAGTCCTGTAAGAGGAGGAGACATCAGCGAGTTCTCCCCAGCCCCACATGCTCATGCAGAGATGTGACCAAGGGCCCACCGAGGTCATCTGCAATGTAAGGAAAGAGGCCTTAGCACAAACCAACCCTGAGGGTTCCTGGATGTGGGCTTTGAGCTTCTAAAACTGTGATCAGGTGTACTGTCGTTTAAGCCCTTAGGCTGTGGTGCTTTGTTGGGGCAGCCCTTGCAGATAATACACCAACCTATAAATTTAAAATGAGGACAGCAGACAAGCCATGCCTACCATCAAGGACAACCCATCCATGGCACCGAAGTGTTTAGATTCAGAAAATCAAATTCATGGTCCATTATCCAGCAAGCAAGGACCTGGAATGAGATGATTTAAATGTTCTTAAGCAATCAGGAGTCTGCTTTCTAATGAGCTGACTACCCACTTCACCAAAAAGGTTTGGCGTTGAGCAATACTAACCAAGCTTCCTCCCTCCAGCCTGTCCGCACTGCCCACCCTCAGCAATGGCCACCAGTGCCTGTCATTACAGGATCACGTCCCTCCAACTTCCAGCTTCTAAGACTACAGCGTGTTTTCCAGAGCCCCAATTAGGGAGCAGGGTTTCACTTGACTCCTGATTAATACACCTGACTCTGGCAAACTAACTCCAGATAATGAGATGGATTTTAGACGGTTCCAGAGAAGAATTCTACCCTATCAACAACCGACCTGACGATGAGGAGACTCCTGTGGGAAATAAAAAGCCGGTACGATGAACTTTTGTTAGAGCGTGAGGATAATTCTTTCAAGCTTATCATTCTCTACTGACTGAATATTAAGCAAAACAGAACACAATTAAAAAAACCCCTCAATAGAGTGAGCGGGCAGTATAACAGGTATTCACCCACGAAGCTGTGAGCTAACACAACTGTACTTGCTTAAAATTTCATACAAATTCACCTTAAAGAACCAGACATACTACTGGTAGGCAGTTTGGACATATGTGATCGAATGAATGGCCCCAACAGCCACCCAGGCCAAACTCCGATGACAGTGACAGAGGGCTGCAGCAGAAAGGTATCGAAGGACTAGAGAGACGAGGGGCTTAAGGTCAGATAGAGCCTACAGCAACACTGAGGAACTGGGTGTCAAAATAAATAACCTCCCAGTGATCACCACAATCCTTTAAAAGATGGTAAATAAATTGACGCACTTGAAAACAGAACTGGAATGCGCATGAGGACAATTGGGAGACACACACCCTTTAGGGACCGCGCAGAGCTTACTTACATGAAGGGATAATGAACTGGGGCTCAGTGTTGCCTGCGTAGCCAAGCTTGGTATACCTAAAAGCACAAAGTCATCAACACACGTTTAGACAGTGGTACTCTCATCCACGTTCAGTTCAAGTCTTTTACTTCGAGCTCTCAGAGTCCTAAATCAAGCCTCAGCATACTCCCCGGGGGTGGGGTGGGAGGTGTTTCATCACTGACAATCAAACACTATTTTCAAACAAGGAAACAGTTGCAAAAACTAAAAATATTATGCCCACCTATATGAGGAAAATAGAAATGCATATTATAATTTGTGCATATAATTTACACTAACACGTAAATTATATTTGTGCATCCCTAGTAATATTAAAAGCACCTTCATACTCTTTAAATCTCTATAAAACCCTATGAAGTAGGTATTACCCCTACTGTGCAGATGAGAAAACGGAGGCAGTAAGAAGTTAATTAGGCCGACTAAAGCCCAACAGTTGAAGAGCCCCAATCTAAATATGCACTGGCTCTCCAGGAAGTACGCTTATTCCCAAACTTCTTGAACTTCTTTTGGGGGGTTAGAAAATGATTACATAATGTCCTTAAAATGTCATGGCATATGTCTCGCAGCAGCTACTGCCATCTCCTGAGGATATCTGACAGGAGCAGCTCTCTACCATCTCATCTCAGAAGGAGCCCGTTCTCTGTCAAGAGACTCCGTATGAGAGGTTCCAACAGTCTTAACTGAAACAAATGCCAAAGTATTACTATCTGTTCCAAAGCATTTGCTAATCTCTAAATATAAAAGGGGGGAAGGGGAATTGAAAAGAAAAAAACACCACTCAGAACCATCTGCTGGAAATGAGAAGTTGAAAAGCAAAAAGTAAACTGAAAAGACTCATCAACTCTTCCTTTCTATTAGGACTACGCTAATTAATAGAGAAGTTTCGACAATTAAGTCATCATTCCGTAATGAATAAAACAGTAGCAGTGTTGAAAGTGACTTTATTAATTCATTCTATTTTACAAATTATTTCAAGATGCTTGACATTAAATTTTTATGGTATTATGTCCAAATTCTAATAAATTAATTTTATGGTTTTTAAATATATTTTATCATATGTTAATTATACTACCTTTGAACACATAGTGAGTGGATGGGTTTGAAGAGACAAAAAAAAAGTCAGCCCTCCTTAAATCAGACCTGACTATTTAGACTCCAGTGGCTCTGGGGTCTTCATGCCAAAAAGCCAGAGTGAGGCCAGGCCCTGAGTCCCTGTAGGCCCTACAAGGAGTGTCTGAAGGTGAAATCCATCTGAAGCCTCTCAAGTTTTACAAACTACAGCTCTAGGAGCAGGGCACACACCCAGGGAGTCCACAGACCCCCAGGGAGAGTGTCAACGCTAAGTCAGACCCCAGGGCTTCCCGATGAGGCAACACAGATCCAACTGCAAAAGTCCAGATTGTCCCTCATTGATCATCATTCTGGAAGTAAATTTCAGACAATAAACATTAACAATGACTGGCCAGCTGGTGGTATGATGGTTAAGGCAGCTGTACCATCCCCATAGCCCAGAACCAGCTGTTTGAAAAACACGCCAGGCATCTGTGTGTGCAGGCCCAAAATCCCAAAAGGAGGGAGAGGCGGAAAATACTGAAAGCTGAGAGGCTGAAAGCTACGCCTCTTTTGTCAAACAGTCATGCTGTGAATGCCAAGGAAGAGTTCTTGAAGAAAATTCAAAAAGCAACTGCAGTCAATACTTGAAGGATAAGAAAGCCAGAGAGTTGTATTGCTGACATGGAGAAAGTTCTAATGGTCTAGATAGAAGATCAAACCAATCACATTCCTATCAGCCAAAGTCCATTCAGAGCAAGGCACAAAAGTTCTTCAAGTCTATGAAGGCTGAGAGAGGTGAGGAAACTGCTGGGGAAAGTTTGAAGGAGGTTGGTTCAAGATTTAAGGAAAGCTGTCCCCATCCCATAAAAGTGCAAGATGGAGCAGCAGGTGCTAATACAGAAGGTACCGCAAAAGTTATCCAGAAGATTGGCTGAGGTCACTCATGAAGGTCGCTACACTTTCTGTAAATCATAGATTTGAACTGCTGATAAAATTAGCCTGGAAGAAAACTGCCATCTAGGACTTTCATAGTTAGAGAGGAGAGAGAAGTCAAATGCCTGGCTTCCAAGTTTTCAAGGACAAGCTGACTCAATGTAGTTAGTGACCTGAAGTCCTGAAGTGGACTCTACGGTTGGGAGATGGAGGAACATGTTGAAATGACAACAAAAGATTTGGAATATCACATAAACTTCTGTGATAAAGCAGAAGCAGGATGGGGGAACTGACTGTAATTTGGAAGAAAGTTCTACTGCAGGTAAAATGCCATCCAAATGTATTTCATGCTACAGAGAAATCTGCCATGAAAGAAAAAGCTAGTCAACGTACAAACATCCTTGTTGTCTTATTTTAAGAAACTGCCATAGCCATCCCAATCTTTAGCAACCATCACTCTAATCAGTCAGCAGCCATCAAGGCAACACCCTCCTCCACTAAAAAGATTACGACTAAAGGCTCAACTGATTGCTAACACTATTTTTTAGAGATTTTTACTATAGAGCATGTGCACTCACTGGAGAGACAGAAAGTAAGAAATCACCCCAAAGGGGAATGCCCATGCCATAATCCCTTTTCCCCCACTCTCCTCTCAGGATTCTGGGCATGCACGCACATGCGCCCAGCATGAGTTTTAAGCCACTGGGTCCAGGACAAGAACCACAGTTGACTAGGTGTGAGTCCAGCAACATAACTATTATACAATCTACTGGTCCCAATTGTTAACATTTTTTCATATTAAAGTTTTTATCTTAAGAGAGATTTTTGCTATAGGATACATGTGCTCACCAGAGACACAGAGAAAATGAGAAATCACCCCACAGAGGGGATGGCCATACCACAATCCCTCCTCCTCCATTTTCTAGGGATTTGGGGCATGCACGCACATACGCCCAGTGTGAGTTTCATGCCACCAGGTCTGGGACTCAAACCATGGTTAGCCATGTAGGAGTGCAGCATCTTAACCACTATGCCACCTGCTGTCCCTACATTAAAGCATTTTTTGATTGCCAGAGGGCATACGCACCCAACAGAAAGAGCAGAACCGAAAAAAGGGAAAGGTCGGAAGGACCCCCAGTGGAATGTGGTCACACTGCAATCTTTTCTCCATCCTGCCAGGATTTGAGACACACATGCATGTGCACCCACTGTTTTCCAAGCCACTGGGGCCAGGATTCTAACCATGGGTGACTATGTGGGATCCAGCTCCCTTAACGACTAGGCCACAGGGCTGGCCCAACAAAAAGCATTTCTAATTAAGATGTGTACATTGTTTTTTTAGACATAATGTTATTGCATACTTAACAGACTCCAGAATAGGGTAAATGTAAGGTTTTTTTTTATAATTATTGAATTTTATTTATCATTATTATTAAATTGAACCAGAGAGAGACAGAGAAAGCAGGAACGTGAGAAAGCAAACAGCCCGGTCTGAAACTTGAACCACAGTTGGTCATGTGGGAATCCAGTGCCTAACCACCACACTACCTGCTGGCCCCATCATAAATGTAAATATCATATGAAGTGGAAAACAAAATATCCATGTGACTCACATTATTGATCTACCCTCTTGACTGCAGGCCACGAACCTAACACAGTATCTCCAAGTTATGTCAGAATCTAATTTTTTTCTAACAGAGATTCTTGCTATAGAGTGCATGCGCTAGACAGAGAGACAGAAAATGAGAAATCACCCTGCCGGGGGGGATAGCCATGTCACAATCCCTTCTCCTCCATCTCTCTGTCTCTCTGTCTCTATCAGTCTGTCTCTCTCTCACTCTGAAGAGACAGCACATGCCATCTAAGCAAAAAATAAATAAAAATAAACTCTCAACACTCCAAACAGAGATTACAGCAAATACATTTATTACATCCATTCAATAAAATGCTATATAACTCTAAAAAATCAAGATTTAGGGCCAATTCCATAGCCTCATGGTTAAAGGAGCCAGATCCAACATGGCCAGCTCCAGTTTGAATCCCAGTCCTGGT